GTGAATCGGAGGGTTCGGGAGGGTTGGAGGCAGGGCGGTGAATCGGGGGGTTGGGGGGGGTTGGGGCAGGGCGGTGAATCGGGGGGGTTTGGGGTTTGGGGGTTTGGGGCAGGACGAGGGAATTGGGGAGTTTTGGGGGGCTGGGGCAGGGCGGGGAATTGGGAGGTTCGGGGGGGTTGGAGGCAGGGCGGGGAATCGGGGGGCTCCGGCATCAAAGGATGAACGTAGTAAGACAGGAGTCGGGCTGCTTAACACACAACAGCAAAGTGAGTGTCCCTTGGCATGGCAGGGGGGTGGGATTGGCAAACTACGGCCCAGGGGCCACATCCGCCCCTTCGGATGTTTGAATCCGGCTCTCGAGCTACCGCCCGGGAGCGGGGTCCGGGGCTTGTCCTGCTCCACGTGGCTCCCAGAAGCAGCAGCACGTCCCCCCTCCAGCTCCTACATGTAGGGGCAGCCAGGGGGCTCCACACGCTGCCCCCACCCCAAGCGCCTGCGGATGGGGAAGGGCCCAGAGTCCCCTGGCCGCGCCTCCGCATAGGAGCCGGAGCAGGGATGTGCCGCTGCTTCCGGGAGCTGCTTGAGGTAAGCGCCGCCTGGAGCCTGCACCCCGACCCCCTCCCACACCCCTGACCCAGTCCTGATCCCCCTCCCGCCCTCCGAACCCCTCAGTCGCAGCCCAGAGTACCCTCCTGCACCCCCAACCCCTCATCCCCAGCACCATCCCAGAGCCCTCACCCCCAGCTGGAGCTCTCACCCCCCCCCCCGCACCCCAACCCCCTGCCACAGCCTGGAGTTCCCTCCCGCACCCATAACTCCTCGTTTCTGGCCCCACCCCAGAGCCCGCACCCCAAACTCTAATTTCGTGAGCATTCATGGCCCGTCATACAATTTCCATACCCAGATGTGGCCCTCGGGCCAAAAAGTTTGCCCACTCCTAGTCTAGTGGATTAGAGCAGGGGGGCTGGGAGCCAGGACTCCTGGGTTCTCTCCCTGGCTCTGGGAGGGGCATGGAGGCCTAGTGGTTAAAGCAGGAGAGGGCTGGGAGCCAGGACTCCTGGGTTCGCTCCCTGCCTCTCCCGGAGCTCAGTTCCCCCACCTGCGTCCAATCTTTCCCAGCCAGCAGATCCCAGCGTGAAATGACCCAACTCAGCCAGAACGACTCATCGGAGCCAGGAGGGCAGCGCCCGCCCGCCCTGCCCGCCAGCCGCTGCCGGCTTCCCCCGGCCTGTCTGGGATTCCCCCGGCCCCGCCTCTGCCGTTGGGGCTGGAGCCACGGAGGGGCCTGGGTCTGCCCCCAGGGCCCGATCTCCAGCCCTGCCCCTCCTCACTGCCTTGTGTGCCAAGTGCCCCCCCGAGCGAGCTACCCCCCTGGGTACCCCTTGCCTGATCACCCACCACCCCGTCACCCCACCCCATACAGCCCCCACCCTGTACAACCTCCTGGGCATCCCCTGCCTGGTCACCCCCCACCCCATACACCCCCCACCCCGTGTAGCCCCCATCATCCCACCACATACAGCCCCCTGGGCATC